CTAAAGTCTCAGTTTCATGGCCTTGAGTGAAAAAAATACACCCGTATACTACAAGGACATTTTAACACGAGTTTGTTTTATTTTGATAACATAGACAGAAATGTCTACTTGTCGTATTTCTGTTAATATAATACATACAATATTTTTTTAGGAATTGAAACTTTAAACAGGCCTCATTTCTGCTCTTTCATTCTAATTCAAATATAAAAACATATTTGAAAAAACAGACTTTACATTTTTTTGATGATATGATTTAATTAATTTATTACTGAAAAATATATTATATTAAAAAATAGGTTTATGGAACCAGGATATACATACAACACAATGGCAAGTAACTACTCAACCAAATTTTATTACGAAAACTAAACCAACGCATTGGGAAAGTCAATCATCCCGTCCAAAGCCAAAACCAACAAAGAAAAAACCAATTGTTTCCACTCTACCACATTTTGTAAAACAGCCAACATTACCATCAACTTCTCCAGCGACAAATATTTTGAACACATTTTCTCAATCGATTAAACCAAAGCCATCTGAGGTACTTACTTGATACATGTAACCTATGAAAAAATAGATATAACCCATGAAAATTTTAGTAAAAACAAAAAACAAAACATCAAAAAATAAATAACAAACAAACCATTTATCAGGGAAATATCCAGAATATCTTAGATGAAAGATTCTGTATATGTACTATATATGAATGCTTGAGAATAATTATAACTTACATTACGTTTTAAAAATGAAATGTCAACACGCAAACATGAAAAAATAAATAAATATCCATGTAGTAATATTGATTTCATTCGATTACGTTTCTTAAGTCATTCGTTCATTTTTTGAATGTGTACCGATTTTTTTTTTCATTATATGTATTTTAATTTCTGAATACACTTCTAACACATGACTATTCTCAAGCTTTCATATATTTTTAATTTTATTAATATTGTTCAGCTATTTATATACAAAGTGATTCATCCGCCCATTCTTATTCATTCATTCGGATCATTTCTCATATGGATAATTTTTTATCTCTATGAGTTCAATGTATGCTTTCAGCGTGAAATCACCGATGCACACAAAAGTGCAATGCTGAAATCAACGCCATTTACCGTTAAAGTTCGATTTTCTGTTCTCTTTATTTTTATTCGCGTCTATATTACTTTATATTCAGATACATCGCCAGCTGTGCTTTCAGTGCTTAAGTTTGAGCGAATTATTGTTATTACATTTCCATTTTCATAATTTCTTCTTCCTTTCTTTTTCGCTTCGGTTTATGTAACACTTGATTTGCTTCGCTTCGTTTGCTCTTTCAATCTGCCGGCGTATTTAAAAAACAAAAAGCAAAATATCATTAACCGGTTGACCGATCGTCTTATAGAAGTTACTTAGTTTCCCCGTTGTGCCGATAAGCTTGAACATATTTGGCATGCGAAATGTACATATTTTACAGAAAACTGTTAATTCAAAGCATTTAACAGTAGCTTATTGTTATACAGATGAATGTGTTTTTGAAGAGTGTTTTTTTTTTGTTTTTTGATGGCCAGTTCACAGTTGACAAAAAAAAATTATAATGTGTTTTGTGCGAAAATATAATGTGTTTTGCAGATTGCCAAAATCTTGTAAATTTCAGTCCACAGTTGAAAAGATTGTACTGAAATAACGATTTTTTTCATTTACAAAATTTGTCAGTGGCAAACAAAACATACCACACATCATATTTTTGCGAGATACAATGATTATATGCAAACCATATATTAATTTACATTACTGGAACTCAATAAACCATTTTTTCCTTTTCATTATATGCTTTTATGAAAAGTGACATCAAATTTCAAATATTTTTTTTTTCTCCTCAGAACACTTATTCAAATTTCTCAAAACCTACAATAGCATCAACAATATTAATACAGCGGACAACCCAAAAACCAATTATATCCAACAAATTTTCGACAAAACCACCGCAAAAAACTACAAGCTTTATAAGATTTCCTATAAAGTCAACAACAACAGAACATCCAAGTAGCACTAATCAACAAATTCTTTCAACCGAAGATGAAAATACAATATCTAGTGAAACTACGATTCACGATTCAAATGATATAATAAACGAAGGTGATAAAATTTAGTTCAAAGTAGATTAATCAATTG